AACAGACATGGAAACTGAATTACTTTATCCCTTCTAGCTGTGAGGACCTTTATACTCACTCTATACATCTCTGTTGTATTATAGCAGATGTGAAAACAGAGCCCAATTTCAGGGAAGTTAATCTGGCTTTCAGAAACATTGCATTCACTTTAAATTCCTTCATATCTTCATTCAGGCTAAAGCAAAGACTGTCTCTGAACACTGAAATCTGCAATTTCTCTCAGGTGGACACAGCTACGCAGATTTAGTAGGATGTGTGCATGCATATGTTTATGTGTTTGTGTGTTTATTGCTTCAGAATTGCCTGGAGTTACATCATCCCAAGAGATATATTCAGCCCTGTATGCTCAGATGGAATATGATGTTTGCGCATAAAATGATAAGGGTTCGTGAGGCACTCAGACAGGAAGGTGAGGTGAGGCAGTTATAAAACAGACGCTAACACTACTTTTGGGCTAGAGTCCTCTGAGGTAGGCTGCTCTAGTCTATGTTCAAAAACTGTTTTCCCTGGATTTTTCATTTGAAAATAATTTTAACCAACCGTAGAAATTCATTATTTTGATCTGACGTTTAAGTACATTTTCAGTTGTATCCAGATTTTATTGACTAGAAAAAAAACCTCTGTAATTGCTCTACTAACTAGGAAAAACGAAACATTTCTGAAGGAGTATAAAAACCATCTAAATCCTTGAAGTGATAGGATTTGGTTTGAAACCAGTAAATTAATTTGATATTTAAAAAAAAAGAAACCACCAAGCATCAGAGAAAAAGCTTTACCCAAGGCATTTGTGCATCCTCAGTCTATTTTACATCCCATTTTTACTTTGGCAGCAAACTTGGTGATTCAAGTGAACAATCATTTGTCAAAAAAACCCAGAGGCTGAAAGATCATGATCATCTTTATATTATTGGCATTAATCAGCCCAATTCAGTAAGTTACATGTATGTGCTTATGTGATACATGTGTGAACATGTGCAAGCATGTGCCTGTGGCTGTTCTGCCCGGACAGAGTGTATTATATTGGAGCACACTGTTTTGGGGTTAGACACTGAAGTCTGAGGGTGCTGACCTCATGTGGAACTCAACAGCAAGGAGGCTGAAGGTGGACGAACCCTACCTGGAGTGTTCAGGATCTCTCAGCCTGATACACTCTCTCTTCCTTCCCTCTCAGCATGATCCAAAGTGGTCTGAAAGTGGGGTCCACAACCTGTGGTGGATACACTTGTAAGATGCCTATTAGAGGATGTCTTTTGGCGCTTGCTTAGTATCTATTGGCATACTTGACTTGTAATTCGAGAAAGAAATATTTATGCTGATAAAACACATTTTTTTTTCCCCACTGTAATATAAAACTGCAAATGTGGTGAAACTCTTTGGTATTTATCCAGCTATCAGTCCAAATTTGATCACACCAAAGGAATAAATATCTTTAATACAGTTGGTCATGCTTATTTTCATTTAAAAACCCCACACCCGATACGAGAGCTATTGCTTTTGCTCCTTTGTTGATACTATAGACAGTTTCTTGAATGAAAGAAGTTGCTTTGTATTTATCTATGTTTATCTTTTGCAGGCTAAGACTGAGCTCTAGGAAGTGTTAACTTCTCTCCCTCATCACCTGTGGGTGATAATTTCGTGACATTGTCTGTACAATCAGCGTCTCAATTACCTTTAAAAACATTGGGAATAAATAAATTTCTCCATGATGCAAAGCTTGGAAAATATCCAGTAATTTCTAAGAACAGGCTGACGTCTTCCCATCAGTTCACCAGCAAAAAAAAACAACTTGAGAATTCTACAGTCACACCTAAGGTATTGTAATCACAGTGATCAGTAATCAAAAATGTGTGGTTTGAAGTCAGGCATGATAACCTGTGTATATTCATCTACTTATGCACTCCTAACTCCGTCTTGCAAAGATAAATGAGCCCATTTATAAAAAGAACAACACATTTAAGTATAGAATTGGGGCTTTGCTTCCCATGTGTAAGAATGGAAAGGCTGTCTTTTGGAGTGTTTCCACAAACCATTTATTTTTAATGCTGCTTAATTCTGAGGCAAGCAGGGATGGATTCTGCGGTACTGACATTTCCACGTTCTTGTACCCTTTTTCAGCTTAGACGTATTCTCCAGTCGTTCAGGAATATTCATGTTTGTGCGTGTCTCTCCTCCCTGCCTATCATGGCAGGCACCCATCAATACTTCAGTTTTATGACACCTCAATATTTTTTTCTCAGCGTATTTTCAAAATTTTGACAGCACAAATTTGAAAGTGTCTGCTTTCTCATGTGTTCACTGCTCATCTCCACTTGTTTAACTCCTTATCCCTATATGCCAATAGATATTATCAGTAAATCCTCCTGGTTTAATCTGCAAAATGTCTCAGAAATCTCATGTTTCTTCTTCATTCTCACCATAAAATCTTTGTCAAGTCCATCCTTCTCCACATCCATGCCTACTGCGACCTTGCTGTCTTCAGCCTCTAAGTGACACTCACATTAACTGGTTTTTAAAGTAGTCTAATGCAGAAGTAATCCACTGCTCCCAGTATTGAGATCTCATTAAGATATTCCTAAATCCCTCTTCTTCACCAGCTCCCTATTGCCTTCTAAATCTGATCGAAGCTCCTTTTATCACCCAGAGTTCCTCTTGACCTAACCTTCCTTCTTCTGTCCTTGCTCTGTTCTTCCCCATCTTTCTTCTTTATGTGCTCCATCCTCACCAATTGCCAGTCACAATATGAGGTATTTGCCAATTAAATGTATTCACTGCCTTTGGTGTTGGCCACTATACTTGTGAGCAAAATAAATAGTTCACAATGCCCTTCCAGCTGGGAAGTATCCTGATGTGATTGGAATAGTGCCTTTGATAAATTCGAACCATTGACTGCTAAAAAGCAAGTTATCATGTTCTTTTCTAGGAAAAGGAAAGGATGCATGTGTCTTCTTTTAGTGAGATTGCTTTTTTTCTCAGTTATCCACAATTTCTCCTGTGTCCTTAGGCATGGAATCAGAAAAGGAATTAAAGTTTTTACTATAAATTTACTATCACTATGATTCATGAAATTGCTCTCCAACCACTCTATCTGAACACTTCTTGCAGAAAGCTGATGAAATGGAAAGGTACATCTCTGGCTTTTCAAAAATGTTTTTCCAGCTCTTAAGACCTGGTTTTGATTTTGGGGAGTAAAAAGACACAGGATAAGGTATGATTATTTCTGCATTATAGGCTTTCCAAACCCAGCCTTTATTAGTCCACTGAACGTTAGCAGCAGGATTTGTAAGTTAGTTTAGACAAGCCAGGTTTATAGCACAGCACAAATTAGCACGAAAGGCAGGACGTGCAGATCAAAGCTCCGCTCAGCTCATCTGACTTTCTGTTCCTCCATGTCTCCACGCATTAGATTATGGTAAAACTTAACAAAACAAACAAACTCCTAGTCCCTTCCTCTCTTCCCCTTTAAGTCCTCCCCCCTCCTCACAAAATCAAACAGGAGAAAAAAGTCTTCCTACACCTGGACCCTTTGTTCACTGTTCTGTGTTTCATCGAGAATTAACATCCGGTTACTGGAGCTTCCTCTCTCTTTGCCAAGGTGCTACGGAAGCACTTTGGGCCAAACAGACACCTACGTGCTACTTCTACACGCCTCACACCTCCCTGGCCTCAGTAGAGTTCAGCCCATTGAACTCCAGCCAGCAGCAATCACCGTGCTTTCCCATCAGCCCCCTACCAAAATCCCAACCTCAAAACTTTCCAGTCAGATATGAGCTATTTTGTCACAATGACATTCCACAGCCTCGTATCCATTTTATGCAGTTTAGAGAGATTCTCCACTCTTCTAGCATCATGCCTGTTTGTGCAAGTCCCTCTGCTTCCATCTATAAAGACAGGCATGCATCAATGCTTCAGTTTTACAGTGCTTCCATATGTGAGTCGTCATCACCAGGAAGCTGGGAAATGACGGAACTTATATCATCTATAACAGGATTAGAGAAAATAGTGCCATGCCCATGCATAATAAAACTACATGCTGAAGTCTCATTTATTAGGGCGCTATAATGAGGCTAGAACTGCTCTCACGTTTAACACAAAGACATGCCAAACACTTTACCAAATTGGCTGTATTGAATATGTCCTATTACGCACTCTTTCAGTTCCACAGACTCATAGAAACTCCAACTTCTGAGATTCCTGGCCATACAATTGCCTTCCTGCCTCTTTCCTCCCTGCCTATACGTCTTTGTTTTCCTCACAAAGCAGAGTTCAGTGGATTTCCTGTACCTCCTCACAGGCCATTACGCTTTAAAGCAACATTGCCTGACTGCAGTAAGAATCTGTCTGAAAACCGAGGAAAGCAGTGGAAAGAACGATTGCAGTAAGCCAAGACTTTCTCAAAAAAAATGGGTCTTTGGGCTCACATGTGCTCAGCTCACCAGGAAAAGGTGGAAGGAAGCATGTAGACTGTTACCTCCATACTCGTAAACCCTGAGCTAGCTGCTGATGTCCTCCACCTCATCCTCACCCTCTCTGCTTCACTATTCTTCTGCTGCTCCTTTATTCCTCCTGCCAGCAGGCTGCAGCTCACCCCTTGCATCTTCATCTTCCTCCTCCCCAGCCACTCTCCCAAGCAGTATCTTTAACCCACTCTCCTTTCACCCTCTCACCCCTGAGTCTTCTCTGATATCCACTGCAACACCCAGGCTCCTGCTTCTCTTTTCAGCATCTTATTTATCCCTTTCTCATTGATTCCCTACTTGCCAGAAGACCAGGTCCTCAGCCCCTCCTGACCCTTCCTGTCCTGCCTGTGATTCTCAGGAGCTTTTGGAAACGTGAAGCTGGGGACAAAAGGCAGTGTTGGGGCTGCGCCTGCAACCAGGACGTCGCTTTCCTGATAGGCATGTGTGCATATTTCACACATGGTCGTACGTTTTAAGGCAAGGAGTTTTCTTCTGTGACACAGGGGCTCTCCACCAGGCACCGCACAGCAACAGCTTCACCAATGAAACTGCTTCCATTGCTCGGTAGGTGAAATCTCCTGTCCTGGGGAGCGAGTGGCAGGTGGGAAATGAGTGGGGTCTGGCCAGGAGAAATGAGCGTGCTGGAGATGGTGGAAAGCTGCTGGGAACAGGGGACTGAAAGTCCCCGTAGCTCTGGTCAGTGCTGCTGCCGGATTCAGTAATTGCATGGTTAGGATCACCCCCAAACAGGATCTCAAGAATGCCAGTCTTTATCTCACCGTGGGTTTTACTCTGTAAAAAACAGAAACATTGTGGGTTTACGTGGTTTTAAGTTTGGGGTTTTTTCCCTCTCTCCACCTAGTTGGGAGATTTTTAAATTTCACATATTATGAAGAGTAAAATGACAACAGAGTCTCACAGGTTTCTCTTTTAATCTCTAGAAGACACTCTTCTCTTTAAAAAGCAGAAGGGAAAGATGAAACTTGGTGATATCCAAATTAATTTAGATTATATCTATTTGGTAAAAAAAATGTGTGTAATTTTTAGTCTTTTAAATTTTTCATGAAATTTTAATTTGTCCAAGAAAACAACACCTCAGTTAGATTTCCATAAAATCTGTAATTGTAACACTAGGCTAACAAGTACTCAGAATAATATTTGGGTAGGGAAAAGCAGAACCGCAGGGGAAGACAACATCCAAAAGGGTCTTTGTGTTCTGCAGCTTCCATTATCTCCTGCTAACAATTTCTTTTATTTAAGTAAAATCTTACTTTCCCTTCTGAGTTAACTGCCTCATTCTAACCTATTACAGGGTTTGTATAATTACTGAGTGAGCTGTTAATTTTCTTAAGGGGAGAGGTTTCTTTTGTCTCTGTGCTGAAAACCATATATTTTCATACAATGGGAAAGTGGTTATACTGGTTAGGAATCATCCAGTGGATAGGAAAAAAAAAGACAATACTTTCATAATATGCAAATGGTATTTTAAGATATTAACTTTAAATAATTTGGATAAGTATTTAAACCCTAATGGCATAGTGCTGTAACTACTGTGACATGTATTTTAATCTCTCAGACCATGCATATATGTGTTAGTTACAAATGTCTGGAAGTGCTTATAAAAATAAAACCTCTGATCAGGGGAACACTGGTATTTTTTCACTTGATATGTATAGGTGAGCTTGGGTTACACTCAATACATAATTCAGAGTGCAAATAAATGCCTGTGCTTTACTGGAAAGTACTAGAGAGCTTTGAAAACCTTTCAAATGTTTTCCCCAGATCACTGAGTAACTTCTATGTTGTTTACCAATTTTATACTGGTTGAGCACATACACAAGTTCTTAATCTACAGTGTCTGCTGGCTCTAGCCCCTGGGTAATTTTAGTAAAGAAGTCCCTGTGGTTTGTGGCCCTTTTCCCCTTCTCTGGTATAGCTGAGTCTGTCATGATGTTAAGTTTACTGGAAAAGACCTGTTTTGTGGGTACTTTCTCTCCAGATCCAGTTTTAGAGCTTGAAATTAAGTTTTTGGATAAAGAAACAAGTCTGATTTTCCTTTTTTCTAGTTCTAATTTCCAGTCTACTGGACTATGGCTGCACTTCTGCAAGCTGCAACATTACATGCCACAAAGATGCCAGGTGTGAAGTTCGGGATGGGATCACAGGCTGCTATTGCTTCCAAGGATATACAGGAGATGGCAGACAATTCTGTTACGGTAAACAGATTTTACCTATATGCATTTCTGTTATGTGATTACTTTAGAAACTTACTCGAGAGCCCATTAGCTCAAGGATCAAGCTTTATGTCACAGCACCTTACACTTAAATGTTCTCAAAGCCAAAAACTTCAGCAGTTTCTGAGAAATTCTACAACTTAACGTCAGCCTAGTGTTCTAATAGAACATACCCTGCATCTCAGCTGAGTACGACCTGTTTTCCAGCTTTCCTTTACCATGAGAGGTGCTCAGGTATCTTCTCTGATTTAGCTTCAGCAATTTCCCAGGTGACTCAGGACTTCTGAACCTTGGCGTTGGCATGACGGCTACTTTAGAGCCTTTCATCTCATACACACGCACACAGTGCTAGGACACTCTTCCCAGCAGCTGATTGTGACCAAATAATACAGCTCCTGCTCTACTCTAGGCATGCATACCCACATGTGAGAGCTCTGCCTCTGGATGCCTCTGTCTTCCATCCAAAGAAAAGGATATTTTTCCTGCCTTCATATTTGAGTTGTCCTCTACTCTGAAGCCTTAGTACTTACTTGCACTGTTAAATATAGCTATGCTCAGCTCCAGGCAGGCTGAAATTCTTATGAATCTTGTCAGTTTTCAATGTCCTGAGAAGGAATTATGAATATTAACCATCTGTTTGGTCAGATTTTGTGTTTCACGCATCTTGAAAAATTTAGCAGTTACAGAGGTCCTTCAGTTTGGTATGAGCACAGGTAAGTGGCCCACCTTTAGTTTGGACTTTTATAGCTCATTTGCCATGGTGTACTTAGAAGTGTGCATGTTTTAGGAATGCTTAGAGAGAAATATAGTTGGCCAAAATGATAAACAATTAAGAATCACAAAAATTGTAGAATCACTTCTTTTGGAAGAGACCTCTGGAGGTCATCTAGTCCAGTTCCCCACTCGAAGCAGGTCCAGCTTAGAAGAGGTTGCTCAGAGCCTTGTCCAGCAGTTTTGAGTATCTCCAAGGATGAAGACCACACAACTCTCTGGGCCCCTGTTCCAGTGTCTGAACACTATAATTTTAAAAACTATTTTCTGGTATCTAGTTGTGGTTTCTCTTGTTGCAGCTTTTAACTTTTGCCTCTCATGTGTACTTCCTGCTGTCAATTTATAAAAATAGTTTGGCTTCATCTCCTCTCTAAACCTCTGCGACCCCCAATCAGGTAGCTGTAGACAGAAGTATTATTTCCCCTTTGCCTTCTCTTCTTAAGCCTGAACACTCTCCTCTCAACCTCTTTGCATCAAGTGCCAGACAGTCACTAAACATATTTCTTGAATTTAATGCGAAGCTTGCCCTAAATATAGGTCAGTCATTATTTATCTATCCAGCTGGTCAAAGGAAAGTAAGAAGAAATGGCCTTCACCACATTAGTATTTTATTTGCACTAATTCCATTTCACTACCGTGAGTAAGGTGGTGGATTTGAAAGTTAAATGCCTATTGCATTTGCAGTCAATGGCCTGCATTTGTGAGTAGCGTAGAGAAAGAAGAAAACCAAGCCGATTTTTGGAACAAAACAAACTAGAATTTACTCATCTGCAATGATCTGATATCCACTACATGGTCTATAGTTTTCTAGAGAGTTGTGATCATGAATCATCAAATCTACGCTGAAGATGCTTGTTGTTCTTCACTAACGTTACTGACGTTCTTAAATCTATCCTTTATATATGTATCCATTATTGTGTTACTAAATGCATTAGTATGACAATTGATTCATGTTATCCTCTATGTTCTTTTTCTTAAAAGTGTAACTTTCTTCTTACTTTCTCTTTTGCATGTATTTTCTTAAGGAAATCTGCATTCCACATTCATAAAAACATTTATTGATCATTTAAAGAAAATTCAGTGCAGTGAAATATACATTCACAAATCTTGTGACTCAATTGTTTATTAAGTATTACACTAAGTGTTTGGAAACTCAGTTTTTAAAGCCAAATTTCCAGTGTCAGTCCAGGCAAACAAGCTACTAGATGTATTTGTGGTGCTTTGTGTTTGAGTGGCAATGGTCTGAAGCAAACCTTGTGTCAGAAGGCTTTTTCTCTGGTAAAATAACTTACCAACCACCAAAGTCACTTACCCTCCAGCTAAGCAGCAAAGCTTGTATCAGAACTGTGTGGCTGTTGCCCCTGAACGAGAGACGTTTCTCTAGGGCAGCATGTTACACGGTGCATTATTAATATTGTGCAGTAGTCCTCTAACAGCATAAACAAGTAACCTGAATTTTAATCGGGTAGGCTCCAAAAATGATTAGAAATATAGGCTAAACCCTATCATAAATAGTTTAAAGCTACGAAAACATAAAGCGAAGCCTCAGTTGTTGAATGATGTATTAGATCTCGCTGTTCTGTGTGGCAAGAGCAGCAGGTGTGTCTGCTGTTCTAGAGATAGCCGCCCATTTTTCTTTAGTTAATAATCTTAGGCTTTTACAACGATAGTCCAGTCACCTTCAAAGGAGATCATCAATTATATGCTAATGCAGGCATTTTCTAAAGGGTATACATGGTATATTGTGTGTCCATATTTAACCTTTTGGTTATTTAGATAGGCTGTGAGAGTCCTAATTACTGTCAACAACATCAGTAATTTTTCATAGTGTAGAACCAACTCCTTTGTTGTGCCTATCCCGATGGGCAATTAAACCAGGGCAGTCATTGTTCTGAGGGCTATTCTGGAACAAGCAAATCAAATTCTTTCTCCTTGTAAAAACGTTGAACAAGAAAATAAATTTTCAGGGTAGTCTTCTTAAGCTTGTATAGCTGGAAAACCATCCCTTTTCATTTATAAGTACATTCTCATTGTTTTTAAAAGGTTTACATTTGTTTCTCTACTTTCATTTACTTGTAGCACCTCTTAAATACTTGCACAAGTTCTTTGCTATGTCTGTCTTTTCAATGTGATACACTTAGACATTTTTCCCTTGAGTTTACTGTGCTGCAAAAGGTAATAATGCCCCGTTACATTTATTTCCTAGCACCATTATTGATGAATCATGAATCACTGATGTCAGCATACCTTAGGAATGGGGTTTGTTAGTTTTTACTTTGCTCCCTTTGCCAGCTGGCTAAGTGACTGCAGAGAGCTCAAGATTATTGGATTTGCTGTGTATAGATAAAGACATATAGATATGAATTTAATTTCCCGGTGTCAAAGTCATGGCTTTTAAAATAATTATCCTCTTACAATCTTTCCCACAAGATTTCAACCACTTTAAATTAGGTCGTGTTTTGGATTTTACGAAGGCATACTTTGGCCAGTCTAACAAAAAGCTAATACTCTTCGTAATCTCATTGTCTTCAGTAAGAGTATGTGCAAGAATGCACAGTCAGGAGAATAACTGATTGTAGGATCTGGCCTTTTTTATATATTGGATTTACAACTTACGTAGCAATAAATTCCTTCTGTACAGTATCTTCCAGAAAGCCATAAATGAGTCACCTTGTCAAGATTTACACCTCTGAGGTACAAAATACTATCCCACTCTTCTTTCTTCTTCTTTTGTATTTATAGTCCTTGCTTTATGTAGTATAAAATGAGAGAGAATGGCCTCTGAAGATGTAACTATTTACCATTTAGATGTAACTATTTAACATTTACTCTCTTCTTGGGCAGATGTGTATTCTGAATGTAATGCATGAGGCTTTAGCTTCAAGTTATCATACACCTAATTGAAGTAGCACAGCTAGAGCTCTTGGCAGAAGAATAAAAATACATCCAGATAAGGCTGATTTATAGAGAAGTTAACTTCCTCTTGTGCAAAAATGCCATGTATTTTATACAGATAAATAGCATATATTTGCCACTCTTGTAAATCCATTTCTTTATATAAAAAGAGCTGACCCCATAAATGAGGTGTTGCTCATAATCCCAGCTTCCTTTCAAAACAAAATTAAAGGAAACAAACAAAATTTCAAATCTTTTAGGGAAGATTGGGATGGAAGCAAAACTTCGTAGAAGCCAATATTTTATTTTTAAAACAGAGGGAAAAATGAGTTGGCATCACTGATGCTTTCCTAAGCAGCTCTGCTGTTTCAGTACTGGCTCCTTCTTGATTGCTGACTGCCAATTTGCTGCTTTGCTGGCACACTGCAGGAAATTAAAGTAAACAGTGTGATCACAGTGTTTACTTTAACTTTGTAAAATACGGAAGGAAAATGAAGCAGTGCTGTTTGTTCCAGGAGGGTAGGCAGGCAAGCAGGAAGTCTGAACACAATATCCCTCCCAGATATCCCCACACAATATTCCTTTGTAAACGTCACTTGCAAGTTACACTGCAAAATTAATCAGTCTTACTTGTAAAATACTTACAGCTCTTCCAGATGTAGTAAGCAGGGACTTACACAATCAGCACAACATTGTACTGAAGTAAGGCACTGACTCTGTTTCTGAAGCACAGTGCAGAAGGATTTATCAGAGGCCAAAAAATACATCAGTGCAAAGTGATATTTTATATAAAAATACAGAAACCCCGTTAGAACACAGGGCAGTTTGCATAAACTCAGCTAAATCAAATTGTGAGTCTGTTCTTGTTTTACTGAAGGTCATACGACCTACTCTTTGGGTTTTGCCAGTTGTAAAAACGAGCTTTTCCAAGTGACATCAGCTCCTTGCTCTAAGGTGATGTTGCTGTGTCCCACTATCAACTTTTATTGCAGTCACTGAATTTGTTTTGATTCACTGGTGTCACTGTTGTCATTCTGCAACACCCAGTTGATGTATTGAGTTTCAAGGAAATTTTTACCTTTCAAATTAATATGACCCTGTAAAACTACTGTGTCTAATGATTTTATTCTATGTAGAAATGTCCTTCTGGACACTTTTAAATCATGTCCAGAAAATATTTTAATCCAAATGCTGGTTCGCTAGAGGAGATTTTTGTTGTTGTTGTTGTTTCCAACAGCCATACATCATTGGATGTCACTTCTGTGTTTAACAAATAGTTTGAAATCACTGATATGGAAGATCCAATCCACACACTT